TTGGTTTCTGGACCTTCAAAATAATCTCTGGTGGTGGTACATAGCTCGTCGAAGTTTGGTCAGCGTCCATTTGATGTTACAGAAAAATAATGTGTGAGTGCCGAGCAACTGAGCATTATTGAAGATGCCTTTGCTGTGACAGTCGTAGCCTGTAGATATCTAGGCGCTCGTCTCTTCCCAATAGTGCACTCTGATTGGGCTAGACTCGGCATAAAGTTAATCCGGGATTTCGTACTCTTTGTAATTTCTATGTAGCAATGAGAGTCTTCTCTCTTTTTATTAAATATAACTTATAATTGACCACAGGCAGTACGCTTCCCTTGACATTTGCATATAGGAGCTCGGGTACATCGGCCTTCTCGCATAGTTTCATGAATATATTTAACTTGTAATCAAAGCTATCACCTTCACCCTAATATTTGAGCTCCGGCCCGTACATTTTTGCCAAGCTTGATAACTCTTTACTGTAGCCGGTGGTGAGATATGCTGAAAACTCTGAGGGTTTCTTTTGAGGAGCTTGGTCCGTATATAGGTGGATAGATTGCTGCTTTTTGGGCAATTCCTGAGTTAACATCTACGGGTTTCCTAACTTGGTTTGAACAGAATTGTTTTGAGAATTTTTCATGACATTGATAACCTTGACCGAGTCAAAAGTTTCATTGGAGTTCATGATGTCTTCCTTAGTCCAATCTGTGGGGCTTTCTTCTGATAAGATATTGAATAGGGAAACTGCCATAGTTGTATGCCTATCTGTTACGGTTTGACCGTTGTTTGAGCTTAGGTGAATACCTAAGCATATTGTCGGGAATATTTACAACAAGGCTGCATGGGGAGGACAGATGAAGCTGAACAAGGCGGTACTACTAGTCAGGAGGTCGAAGCGTTACTACAACTAAGTAACACCTGGTAATGCGTGGCTGGGTAGCAAGTATTGTGCCTAAGGATAAGTCATCAGTCTGGAGATTGACGGAGGGGACCAATTCTTATAAATACCTGTTAGTCGTAGCTAGAGTTCTCTTTTCTCCTCATGTAGTTTAATAAGTCGATTTATTCATCACCAACTCGGTTTCTGTCACACTATCCCATTTAACCTAGACACCGCAAGAACGTAGGTAAATTCTGAATGATCGAAATGCTGTCCTTGAAGCCGCCTGGAAATCATCAAGGGTTTTATCGCTGAATTCATCCTGATATGCCTTCCAAAGATTATCATGTTGGAAATGGAGACACAGAGTGTTGTGGACGTACTGGCCCTCCATTTCGTCTAGGTTCCCGACATGATCTTGTGTGTGTTTAAGAGGTTGGAATGAGTAATATGGTAGCGCTTCCGGCTAATTATTGGAGACATGAGCGGCTCTCTGGCGTGGGCACAAAGAGATTATTGTGGGGTTTTCTATGCCTAGATGGCGCCACACTCGTTTATGCTGTGGCTTAGGCTCTGTGTCGCGCACACTTGTACTTGTAGCGCATATGTCCCACACTTTTAGCCTTGAGCCGAACATGACACTCCTTTAGTCAACTTCTACTTTCGTTCCAAGAATATTGCGCCCATTTCATTGCGCAATATTTCCAACATATCATCTTTTAAATTTTACCATGAGAATTCCTTGAGAGTCTTCTTGATAAAGTTATCGATTTCTCTCTGTTTAGAAAGCGAGGGAGTTTCTGGTTTAATGTTTGAAATGCCTGACATTTTCTTCGGAGTAAATTCGAACCCAACAAAAACTTGGGCTTTTCGGAAAGAAAATGGTTAAAATGCTGGGTGCAGTTTAGACGTGATAGACGCAAACCAAGGGCCTTCTTTCACAAGGGATCGATTTCTTGAATAATAGCTTAAGTTGAGGCCTTTAACAGGGACTGAACAAAATGTATCTCTATTCACAGGTATTCTGATCCGAATTCGAAGACTGATCAGTGTCGAAATATTTCCAATGGATTCTTTGTTTGAGATAATTCAATAACAATAATTTCATTCATTCATTTGTATTTATCTTCCTTTGTGAAGGAGGGCCATGACCTCATGACCTTGAACACTCATCACATAATATCTACTTACATAGCGATTACTAATAATTACCCAATTTTTGTTACATCATCATAATCATTATCACCGCCCGAACTCCAGCATCCTTGCTTTATGCACATCCAAATAAAACTTGTGTCCTATTATTCGACAGTCAGCCCGTCACAGCCACTTTTCAAAAATGGTCTTGAAATTTGTGGTTATATTGTTTACCTTCCAGTAAAAGTGTTGAACTTGGATGGTTTAAAAGTGAAGGGTGAAGCTGGTCAGATATTGTACTGCTACTGAGTCTCTACACCTTTCGTTTTACTGACAGCTAAGTTCTGTAGTAACAGTATATTTCGGAAACGCTATTTCAAACCTGCTTTAATATAAAGTCACATATCCTCCAAGCCTGAGTGACTGATACTTCAACATTTATCGTTAAGAGGGTTTAATTAGTGAAATATGTAAATTTTTTACTGTACTAATTGAGTCTATGACTATCTAGCACATTGGGCTCCTCTCTGACCCAGGCCACACCTTGTACAGTGCTCCTATCCTCTTTTGTTACTTAAAGATCATTGATATATTCCCCTTGATGAATAGCCATTCAGCTCAGTATTTACCCGTGGAATTCAGCCACCTTTTTCACGAAACCTTCTACCCAAAAAAAAGGTAGCAATGAAAGCTGCGTGCGTGATAAAAAGTCTCAAAAAGCTGTAGTCCCAGCCAGGCGAGGCCTAGACACCGGGACGACATAAGGTGCGCATATTCATCTATATCTCCCTTCTTTGTAACAGTCGAGGCCGACTTGATCCAATCCACCATCTCCGTATCGGGTGCTGGGTACGCTCCGGAAACTCATCGGATGGCTTTTCCTCCGTGATGAAGGTTTGGTGATGAGTAGAGCTCCGACCCTACCATCTGATCTGATCGTGGTTAGCTTCATGATAGTGGTGATAGGGGGATGTGTTGAGAGATGAAGACGATACAGACTGCGAAAGCGATTGGGAATCCTCATCGAAGTGAGGAAGATGTTACTCAATCTCGGCTCTACGGACTCTACAGTGAGAGCTGGAGGTTCGTTGGGGACACCACTGACAGGCGTTGAGAATAGTCCCCCCAGCCCAGTATTTACCCATGGAATTCAGCTACCTTTTCAATAGAACATTAGGGTTCAACTATGAAGTCTGACTTTTATACTTCACCACATTCCAAGTCATCGTATGCCTTCAGTACCGAATAAAAATATAGCTGTTGCTGACCTTTCAGGCACTTTGTAATTCTTCGTGGTGAAGCTTTTTTTTTAGAATTGCCACTGGTGAGGCGCCATGTATAACACCTTGTCGTAGCCCGAGATTAGTTGTCACGGAATGTGGTCGTGATCTAGTCGATCGATCGAAATATACGAAGTTTATTTTGATTTCCTAAAGTAATGATAACGCACAAATAACAATCATGCGGAATAAGAGCATCTTGAAAGGAAATATGTGGTGTTCTCTGGTATGGTTTGAGTAGCCTGGGCACCTACTCCACCTGGGAAGGAGACATCTAAGATTACTTTTCGCGCGGAGAAAAGTTGATGGATGACTGAGGCATGTCTGGATAACTCAGGGTTTTTGAGACGTTCCCTTGGGTGGGTATTCACGGATGAGGGTTGACTTGGGGTGAAGAAAAAGCCGCCACAACTTCGCAGTGGTTCCTGCAAATGAAATCCGAGGCATGAGTGCTCTTTCTTTACGATGAATCATCTATTCTGTACTTTCCTTTGATATTGTGTCATAGCTAGATAGCTTCATACGCAATTAAAATCTGTTGCAAAAAAAAAGGTCCACAGCTATACTGTGGATCCTGGCTAGGGCATCCATGCTGAGGTCATCATGTGGGGATCACATGATGACACATCTACTTTTACGTCTTAGATAAACCGACATAAATAACTTAATCCTTTTTTACCTCTCCCAACCTCTGGAGAAATCACCTTCCCCAGCACCTAGGCTACGAAAAGCTAGGAATAATATCAGCACCCACTAGGCCAAAAGAACTTGCCCTTCCGCGCGCCACTCTAGGTCGAATTCTAGCAGCTAGATCTGGGCACGGCGACTTCGCTGACTATCACGAGCGGTTCAATCATGAAAATGCATCAAATTACTGCCGATGTGGCCGTCGTAAGGCCCCACTACATTGCTTTTTCTGTCATATAGCGAAAAGAAGATCACGACTAATGCAGGGTCCGCCTTCGGAAATGATCCCGTTCATTCTTGGCACATATGAAGGAGGTCAAAGTTTGGAGAATGGCTACAGGAAACCCGATTCTTCACAGATATCTGCCCATAATCTTGAGGTTTCAAGTGTCGCGAAAAACCAGCAAACGAAGGAAGGAAGATAAGCAATTTAGACTCCTTTTTTTCTAATTTATTTTTCCGGTAGTGGAGGTCAACAGGGAGTGTGGGTTGACCTGCGCAGAGAATGGCGCCGAGCAAGTATCTTACCACCACAAATAAGAGCCTAACAAACTGCGGGAAGTAGCTATGTGAATGCACTTCCTTTATATGTTAAATAGTTTAATTTTGTTTTTTTGCTTTCCTTTAAAACATGTAGAAGCCCAGAGATTAAATCCTGGCGTCTTTTGTCTCAGTAGGGACTTAATAGGGTTACTCGCTTGACGCGTGATCCGCCAGACGTTAAATAAAGATAAATAAATAAATAATCCTTTTTTATTTATATTACATTAAATCTACCTGTAGTGAGCCATTGCTCCTCTTCTGACATAGTCATTATGACAAATATATATGTGTGTGTAAAGTATGCAATACATTTATTGCTCACGTGCCTATCCTAAGAGGGGGCACAACCACATCGTCACTGGCGTTCCATGAGCTTAGTCTCTCGTTTGACAAATGAGAATGATTCCGCCATTCTCATCCACGACCGAAAATTTTTAAAGTTGGCGGAAACCATAAATATGGCCCGTATTACGTAGAACCTCAATTTATCATCGGAATTTGCAAGCTGAGTACCTGCCATCTTTAAAGAAATATACACCATGAAATTCTTTGGATTCTTTTATGGTTAGAAAGAATACCACAGTTGGTTGGCGCACTAGCAAATTAGTAAAACCAAACATCGAATATCAGTTCAAACTTACCTTCAAAGAAATTCGATGGGTGTCGAAGGGGCCATTTCCAAACCCGCGATCCAAATATTTGAATGTCATCCCCAGCAAATTGTGGATATAGGTACGGTCTGCCTCCTGCTTGCTGATGTTTGATGCCCCTGATGGCTGCTTGCAAGTTATCCTCAATGTACTTGTGTTTAAACATTTGCCCGTTACAGTCTACAGCTATTTGACTATCTTTGGGGTCTAAGATACCGTTTATCAAGGAACTTGGAATCGATAAAGCGGGCACAAAATTTTTCCAAATCATAGGACACGCAACTTCTTTTCCATCAACTAAATGGAAGACATTTAGAGAATCAGGGCTTTTTTTGAACGCGATAAAATTCTCCATATTTTTATCTATTTTAATGTCATTAGAAAATATTTGGGTGTTTCAGTACGAATAGATCTTACCGTCTGGTGTGTATATTTTATTGCGTGATAATAGAGGCCATACTACGAAATTGTGATATGGAGAATCATGTTGGAGAATCATTCTTGGGTACATATCTGGATAATTGATTCCGCTAGTTTGTAATGATTTGAGAGCCGCTAAGTATGAATTCTGAACATATTCAAATTCGAAAACCTGTTTGTCACATTTGAACCCAATAATGGAGTGTATATTTGGATCGAACAAATCAGAGTTCATCGGGCTAAAGACTTCTCGACAATAGCGGAGCTCGGATTGATGAACGGTCACTATTCCCACCAAAGTAGCTTGGAAGTCAATGATAATACGAATATTGGACACTATGGCTGATTCACTCGGCGTCAGCAAATATCCATGAGGGAGATTGAGTTGATGCGAAAACTAGGTTTTCATAGCTCACCAGTTCCTTGTAGCTTATTTTTCATTAAAATGGGCCAGACAAAAAGCGTTCTATGAGAGTTGCCGAAAGGCCAGGAATCTCCCACATGTGCTGGTAAACTATGGGTTGGTTCACTATTATATAATGCGTCCCAAGCTATAATAATATTTCGTTTTAGATATTCGCCACTGAGGTAGTTATCATCACAGATGTAGTCGCCATATTTCACCTCTGGCCCGCTGGGTAACATAAGTGTTGGCGATGCTGAGCTGGATGTGAAAAGATACGTTTGAAGCAACACAATAATACCGCTAAAGAAGTGCTTCATCATTGTAAATTGATTTGGCTTATGCCGCAAATAATATATTCAAAGAAAGTGCTGGATAGATAAAGGAACATTCAACTTTATTTGAAGCAATCGCGGCGTTGAGTCGTATGAACCTTTTGCAGGGACTGATATGTTTTCCCCTTCCACTGCCGAGATCTGCCTTCATTTATCATACCGAGGATGCTTTTCAGCTTTAGAGAGGTGTTATGTAATAGTTTGGGCCTTTATTATGCTTTAAATTGTTTTATTGTTAATTTCTATGCGACTTAAATTGTTTAGTTTTTAATTTCATTTTCTGTCTACATATTCAGTTCCTCTTGGTATTATCATTTTTTGGTTTACCCACTTTAGCACCGATACTGAATCGCGAGGGGTTCTTCTCTAATATAACCATTGCATTTTTTTTACGAATAGTCTAATTCGTCTTATGCCTCTTTCATGGTTTCCTCGTAGCAACAGCACCTTAAGTTTTGATTTTAATGTACAGGCAAACAAGTCACTATCTATTCATCAAATAAAACCACTCGTGTCATCCGAAAGAGGGCCGATAGAAAACTCGGTTAAGCCATTGGAGTATTTTTTCAGGTGAAATTGGTTATTGTTTTTACAGATATGAACCTGTGTCTTGCATGACTTTAGGGCGAATTTTTTCAAGCGATAAATTTCGTTCACCAAAGGGGTGGGCTAATAACACCATAGACCATTCTCTTGCAATTTGTGTACCGGCGAAGTCGCACTCGAGAGGACTAAATATCTCAAAGAGTATAAAGATCCTAGTATCGTGTTAATGAAAAGACCAGCCCGAACTTCACCGTTGTCATGAATCACATCTAGCCCGGCAGCCCACAACTCCCGATCTTTACACCCCTTGGCACAGATCCTTGCACAGATTCAGCCACCACGTACCTTAGCACTTCATGTTAAAATCGAATTAATACATTTTTATCTTTTAAGATCTCAGTGCTATCCCCACATTGTTCCTTAATATCATGAAGTCGGGTCGTCTCCGTCATCTCAGATAGTAGACTCCCAGAGGATCATAATCTATTTAGTTTAAGGCTTTTGATTTTCTCTAGGTAGGTACTGCCTATCCACATCAAGTCATTTATCATGAGAGCGTATCTCAGTGGGTCGAAATATGGTGTGAATATGAGTGGGGGATTGGATTTGTCTGACAAAAGCTTGTCACGTTTGACTGAATTATGTGAGATGTCTTGGATTTGTCACTGCAATTTCCCTATACTAACATAGGCTTCAGGGTTGGGTGGTGCAGTGGTACACCAATTCGGGCCGTTCTCCCAAGTAAATTATGGGTAGCTTAAACACCTACCCCATTTGAGACGAGAGAAAGCTGGTTCGAATCCAGTAAAACCCACACATCAACCTCTCTCGTAGTGATATTGTAATTGTGGGATGATGAAAGAACACTCGTATAACCATAGGTTTTTTCACGATTTTTCCTGTAGTGGGTATGCACGGAAGATGTTATACTCCGTAAGGGTTAACCTTGAGTGGTAGTATCCGCAAATGAAATCTGAGTGTGAGTGTTCTACACGTCAAATCGAGTCATCCTATTTAAAATAAATGTCTTCTGATAAAAACATGCATGGATCTCAAGGAGCCAACTCAGGATAACAGTTGGAATTACTACGGGGTAGTTTCACGATCGATCGTAATGAGTCAGTTAAGAGTTGTACGATTCTGTGCTCTAAATGTTCGTCATGTCTTGTCTTCCACACCATTCAAGATTCACAGCTATATTGTGGATCCTACCTAGCACATCCTTGTTGATGTCATCATGTGATCCCCACATGTTGATACATCTACTTTTACATATAAGATAAACCGACAATAACTGAATTATTTATTTAACACAGGCTTCAGCCTTGTATGTGGATCGGGAATTATCCAGTTCCGGCTATGAAGAAGGGCGTGCTAGTGTCGTTGGAAAACGTGCTCGAATGTAACAATTATCTCATGAGCGCATTGCGTCCTTTTCCAAGGAGGGAAAGACTAAACACCTGTACGCGGTGTATACCAAGAACATGGGAGTGAAATATTCTCCCAAAGCCAAATTTAGTCAAATTTCGCATTACCAGAGTAGTTGGCCCACGAGGCGATGCTTCAAGATACTTCACGATATTTATCTTTCACTCCCAAAGTGTTGTGGTTATGAGCTATGCGGAAGTCACATTGCGGAGTGATGAGGAGTGGATGATGTTATAATTTGTGGTTGACAGTGAGTAGCCTCATACAATACTATACCGTAGGTATGTGGACAGAAAGTATAAAACTAAACCTGTGTCCATTTATTGTGGGTACATCTATGAAACTATATACATGCTCGCCTAACGAGTACACTAGTGATGTATGCTGTGGCCTTGAGCCACACGCAATGCCCTAGCCTCGACTACCTCGTTGTCTCATATCATAACACAAAGAGATCGATTCCTACCTAAGCCTCATCAATCATACAATTACGACCTAGTATATTCTCATTCTAATGACCACACTTCTTGTCGACTTTCTCTGGCCTTAGCTCGTCATAAAATATATGCCCACGACGATACCTGTCATGGCGAGACATTCTTGAACCAGAGTCTAAGCAGAGGGCCTGAGGATAAAGTTCACGGAACAGGTTTTTAGGCTCACCCTCAACACTTGCACTTATATGGTGAGACCAGATATTGCGCCAACTGGAATTGATATGGTTGAGGTCACAGTTTGAATTATGATGGGAAATTACAACAGTCTTAGTTAAATTGTGTTAGGTAGTTATCTGTACTTAAGGAAGCTGGAGCTACAACAAAGTAGTTCTCCAGCTTCGCAATCTTATAATATTATTATAGTATTCTTCTCGCACTCTCGCCTCCTTCTAGCCTTAGTACTTCGTCGAGTTTTCATCTCTCTAGTATTCACCACCTGACCTTTCCATACCCTCGGCGAACGGCGATCTCGATCTACCCTGAGGCACGCCGTAACAATACTAATACCTGCCAGAAGACAAAAATTGTCGCGCACAAGTTTCCGAGGCATTTCTTTGAGATGGATATTAGAAAAATCAGGAGAAATCATAAGATGATTCAAAGCGAGGACTACCTCAATACTCCTTGGCATGTTTCAAGGAGGAAGCATCAACACGAAAATAGGGATACCTCAGGGCTCTCCGCTTTTCCCAAATCTCTTTTTATTCTTCGCTTGCACCATACTCCCTCTGCTCCAGATAGAATCGTCTTCGGAGATCAGATTCGTGGACGACGCCAACTTGCTAACATGGTCAAATACAACTGAAGAAAACTGCCGCAAACTGAAGGAACTACACGAAAAATGTGCTTCATGGGCTACGAAGCACGGGGTTGAATTTGCACCAGACAAATATCAGCTAATGCATTTCCTCGATGGCCCGGAAACATCATAATCTGAACGCAGCTATCCAAACACAGAGCCACAAGATTATCCCCAAATTGTCTCTTCGATTTCTTGGGATTCAGTTGGACCCCAAGTTAAACTGGGCATCTCACGTTAAAGGATTACAAGCCAAAGCGGAGTCACAACTGCAGGCATTGAGTCGACTAACTCAGTCAACGTGAGGCGCAAATTTTGACAAATCTCGACTAATATACTACTCGGTAGTAAGACCAGCGCTTACCTATGGATTCCATATCTGGGTCAGGACTGGACCGACAGGCAACATCCCTGAAAGGATACTCAAGCCACTTAGAAGTGTTCAAAGGAAACTCCTAAAGGTCATTACAGGGGCATACCAATCGACCAGTAGTAGAATGCTAGAGCATGAAACATCAACTCTGCCGATAGAAATCTACCTAAAACAAAGGCGGCAACAATATATCGGCTGTCCAATAACCTACCTGTCCAATAGACAGTTTTAGCTGCACGCAGAAAAATTAAACAAACGTGATCAGTACAGGAGAGATGATATAGCGGAATAGACCCTAATCTACAGCAACTTTGAGTCTAAAATATGACAGAAAGTAGATAGAAAGAACGCTGCGTTCAAATATTGGTCAGGATCCTGGATGAGCCAAAGGCAGAAGCGGCGCTTGGGTCCCCGAGCGCAACCCCATCCGGATAAGTGGAAAGCTGCAGACTTGTGCAAAGACAAAAAACAGGTAGACTTATGATGAACTGTAGAGAGTCACCTATCCAAATCCATCAAAACTTTAGCGTGGCCCAGAGCAGCATTGCCACACAAGCAAGAAGCAAGCACGTTGGGCTCCATGCTTACTTATACAGAAGGAATGTGCCAGTAGTAGTAAAGCCATGCTGCCAATGTGGATATCCGTCCCAAAATATAAAGCACATGGTGATATCTTATCCAAGGTGGGCAAAGGGAAGGGGCGAGTTTCTACGGAGATCTAAAACCAAATCTTTCGAAGCGATATGTGACAGAACCAAGTTGGTGACGAATAAATCGATTTATTAAACTATATGAGGAGAGAAGAGAACTCCAACTGCAACTAACAGGTAATTGTAACGACTGATCCACTTCGTGTATCTACTAACCGATGGATATGCAAACGCAATTAAAATCTGATGCAAAAAAAATAGCTGATGAATTTCCTCCAGACATCATACTCGCTAACTAGTGTCATGGTACCTATGGTTCTCGCTTATGACCTGACCTATAAGTCACATGACGCACAATTATCTTACTTATTTGTATGATTGATGCTAGCGCATGAATGAATTACAGTTATATAAGTAGTTGCACTCTAGGACAAGTTGTGCAACGTCTTATTAATATATTCTTACCCGTACTTCGTCCTCTCGTACCTCCGATCTGCTTGTGACTCCGTTCCAACGAGACCTACCCGTGATGACTAGCCGCGTATTGTTAGGTATTACTTAGTTGTAACAGAGATCTAGCGTCCTGATTAGTGTTATCTTTTCTTCTAGTTCCACCTTTCACTCCCGGTGCGATCTTATTGTAAACAATTTAAGTATTACGCTTGGGTATCCACCTGAGCTCATACAACAGTCAAACCGTGACAATATGGTAAATAACGTCAAAGATATGACTAGAATTGCACATTGAATTAAAAAAGGAAGGACGGCTAGAACAGTTTCAGATTACCGGAGAAATCGAGGCGTTAATCAAGCGAAGAGAAGAAAATGGAAACATAGGACTGTGACAGTTTGACCGTTGTTTGAGCTTAGGCGGATACGTAAGCCTGATATTGAGAGTTCTTACGATGAAGCTGTATGGGGGGAGATGAAGCTGAAAGAAACGGTACTACTAGTCAGGAGGCTGGAGCGTTATTACAACTTAGTGACACCTGGAAATACGTGGCTGGGTAAGAAGTATTGTACCTAAGGACAAGTCACTAGTCTGTAGATTCACGAGGAGGATCAACTCTTGTAAATACCTATTACTAGTAGCCAGCGTTCTCTATTATCCTCATGCGGTTTAAATCGATTTATTCATCACCAATTCGGTTTCCGTCACAAGGACAAGGATGGAATCCACACTGACAACAACGTTGTGAGTGCACTTCCTAAAGGTAAGACTATAATGGCGCAGGATTCAATCAGATAGCTAAGGGGTTTTTTACCGCAAGGTTTCCTACTTTGTAAATATTAGAGTTCGTAGATACCTTAATGGGCCCATAGGGTGCTAAATTGGGCTTGATGAAATCAAAATCAAAAATTCAAGATGATCCAAAGAATAGATACAAACTCGAAAATGTGAGATTCCAAATTTGATAAGGAGACTTACAAATTGATGAGTATTGTGCGCGCCAAGCTTGGGTTTGCAATAGTGCAGCTGATACTAAATCAACAAGCCAGCGACAGTAGGTGCTCTGGTACGCCTCTGATGACCTCCGGTATGGTTTGAGTACCCTAAGCGTGTACTACACTCGGGAAGTAGGGGTCTCCGACCACATTTCGCGCAGAGACAAGTCAATTGATGAATGAGGCACGGCTCGATGACTCAAGATTTTTGATACGTTTCCCTGGGTGAGAATTCACGGATTAGGATTGAATTGGGGTGAAGAAAGAGCCGCCATAATTTTATAGTGGTACTTGCGACCAAAATCTGAGGTATGAGGGCTCAAATTGTTTATTTATTCATCTGTTGTTTACTTTTTCTCTAATATTGTGTGATATCTGGATAGCTGCATACGAAATAAAAATCTAAAGCAAAAAATCTTTTCCACCATGGATGAAATGCAAATCCATCTATGGGCCCACACCTGCAAATAATAGATGGGAAATCCCATTTTCAAACAGAAGACGCCCCGCTTTTGTGCGTGACCGTATCTTGGCTCCGAGATAAAAATTAAACGTTAATGTCACTTAAGGACACCACTGGCGAGGGCTGGGTCTCCGAATGCCTACTCCCCTAATTTCTCACAGATCTTTTGCTCATGTTTACTTTGAACCTTGGGCTATCAGACCACCTTTATTCAACCGTTTTGGTTGAGAATGAAAGCGAAGTGATTCAAGCCCCGCATAGTGAATCTCTCGATGATGTCTGGGTGGTATTCCAACTCCAAAAGGAGGTTTTTTTGCTCCATTATTATGGCAAGAAAATAGACCAAGTAAATAAGTTAACTCTTTTTATTAGCGGCCAAACTTTACCAAAGTAGAAAATCTGGACAGCAAAGACTGAGTTTACAAGACTCTCGATCTTTTCTATATTGCAACCTGAAAGGGGCCCAAAGTAGTTTGGTAATGTAAATTCGCAGTGAGAACATGGAGCCTAACTCATATTTACGCAGAAGTGGAGTACTCGGGTATTCAGTCCAGGTTGTCCATGTGGATACCAATCACAGAACCCCAAGCATATGATTATGTTCTGCCCTCGATGGTCAAATGGAGAAGCTGAGATCTAGAGACAAGCGAAAGATTGGTCCTACGAAGCTATGCTAAGCAATCCTGGAGATATCAAAAGGATGACACAGTGGACTCTAAATCATGGTTGGATAGGGCAGTTCTAGATGACAAAGGCGGTCGAAATGCTACTGATGGAAGGGATCAGGTCATGCCTTTCTTGAGGTCGAAAAAGCTGATGTGATTGGGTCATATGGAGGGCACTATAGTGTAACTGCACTTCCTAAATGATACATTAGAAAAAACGTAGAAATTAAACAGGAAGGTTTTGGGGGTTTTCACCATGGAGGTTTCCTCCCGTGTAAATATTATAGATTATCGACACCTACATGGGCCCATAGGGCGCCATAGCAGGATAATGAATTCAAATCCAAAAAAATATGGGCTTCCCGGGAACTCGGAACAGAAATTGAATAAAATGTCGAAATAGATATTATAGATTGAACCGTGTTCGTTTTTTCTCCATTCCAGCTTTCCATTGCCATTGTACTGCGTCCTTGCCCTCACTACCTGCGCGTCCAATTCCCTTATCAACCCTCCTCAATTTTAAAGTGAAACGTGGACCTAATTCTTGCAGCCCAGTTCGAATTCCCTCAACGCCCTTGACTGCCTCACCGTCTGTGCCTACTACACTTTTCTCGGTCTCACGTTTCTCCCTAAAAATATATCTATGGCGTCGGACGAAAATATAATCTCGCTGATTATGCAGAGTCACGACCTGTCTTCCTTGAAATTCTGGTTGAGGCGGGAAAAGTGTGAGAAAGAGTCGTGCTGTCAAAAGTCCCAAGGGTGTTCGGAAATTGTTGAGGATGAGTTCGGGGTAGTGATTAGTAGGATTTCCGTGACCAGGTAGTTTTTTGCCATCAACCCAATTGGCGATGCTAAAATGACAAGTCGGACCTGATGGTAGATGCACGACTGTGAGTCCCGTTGGTTTCTTTTGAACTTCCTGGAGGTAAATGATGGACGTATACTGACGATTACTGGCAAATTTAGAAATCTCACGGAGAGAAAACTTGTGACCGTAGCGATGAGAAGAGCGAGGAATGTAAGTGCTATTAGGGAAAAGTGTACAAAGAAGGTCTGCTTCGTGGTGAAGATTAGAGTTGATAGAAGTAGTAATCAGAATCTTCGGATAAGGAGGCACAGTATCAGTGAAGAGCGTCGGAAATTTAATGGCAAGCGATGTTGGAGTGAGGTCTAGATTTGTACTGGTGCACGACGGTGCAATAGATGGTGCGCGACGTGGATTTTTAGTGTTTATATCGTCATCTTCCGTATCGAAGTCCAACATGCTGTCCACATCGCTTTCATCACCATTATCTTCTTTTTCAGCTGCGAGAGGCTCTAGCTTTTCTCGTTCAGCCTCTTCGAGTTTTCGTCTCTTGAGCTGCTCAACATCAATGCTGACACCCAGTCCATCATCGTCTGTATCATCCCACGTCCGCTTGTTATCAATGGTGTGTGGAATATTTCTGATGAGTCTTTCTTTTCTTAATTTTGGATTGTTGTCCTCTTCCCTCTTACGCTTGAATCGTTCATCTCTGCGCAGAGATTCGCGCGCTTTTTTCTGTTTCATATGGAGGTCTTGACGCCTCAACTTATTTGCCACCCTGAAGGGAAGAGTGGCTTTAGATGAAGGAAGTTTTCCTGTCTTATATTCCATTTTGGGGGCTGATGTTGTGCGCAGCAATGGATTTAAGTCAAATGATTTTATAAATAAAATTTAAGCAGCTGATGTGACAGTAGTAGTTAGTAAGGGAAACAGCTGGATAGTTGAATACTTTCTGTTTGAAGTCGAAGTTATGGAATATTTAATTTGAAGTATTTGCTGGGTCTTAAGCTATGAGATACTTCTAGCTGACGTAGAGCCGATGAAGTAATATGAAAAATGCTTACGCTGTCGCAATAACGATTTGATTTCTACATAAATAATTAGAGGGACATGTTTGTGGAGGCCGTGGTCTCGAGAAATTTTCATCAGGGCAGACGGCAAATTAAGTGCTATATTGGTTGGTTGGTGTAATGGTACAATATACGATCTGACCTCCAAAAGAAAATCTCTGTAACTTGAAAACCTAACCCACTTGAGGCTAGACAAAACCGGTTCGAATTCAGTAAGATTTAATCGAATTCCTCGCTTTAAGTGTACACCCACAATGAAGGCATAGGAGGGCAAGACTGAAAATCTGTACGCGGTATCTGTTTTACTTGGTCTATGAAATGGGGAACGTACACTTACGTTTGACGGCTAAGATATGATTTGATCGAGAGTGAATTGTAAGCAGCTCTTTGATGATGACATTTTTATCGCGACCGGGTTAAAGTGACTCTGTGGAATTATATAAGTTTAATACAGGGGGGAAAACCTCTCGCTTTACACCCCGTCAACTCGTTTACCTGCCAATCATATGCCTGCTATGCTTACTCATTCAGTATGCCTTGCCTTAGCAAATGCGCCAAGCATGTCATGTGAAGTTTTTCAACATGAAAGAAGTTGGCCCACTAGGCAATGATTCAAATCACTCCACGTTGTTTTTTCGCTCCCAACGAGTTTGACTGCTACCTAAGCCTCATCAAGCCTTCAAGTACGACCAAGTACATCCTCATCCCAACGACCATACCTCTCTTCGACCTTCTCTGGCCTCAGCCGGTCACCAGTTACACGCCCACGCCGATATTTATACCCGACGGGGGAAACAAAGCGTAGCTCACAAATCTGGAAGACAGCTCTTTGGGATGGACGTGAGAGGGATCGGGACAAATTTACAAGATGATGCAAAGGAAGGATTTAACCTCAAAGGGCGTGAAACTCGGAATTTTGGCAAGGATTTTTACGAATTAGGCTTTGTGCGCGTCAAGACTTCGTTTGCGAGAGTGCAGCTGACACTATAAACACAAGCCGACGATGGAAGGTGTTGTGGTCCACCTCCTGGTAGCGTTCTCTGGTATAGTTTGAGTAGCCTGGGCACCTACTCCACTTGGGAAGGAGACACCTCAGATCACATATCGCGCGGAGAAAAGTTGAAAGATGGAGGCATTTCTGGATAACTCAGGGTTTTTGAGACGTTCCCCTGGGTGGATGAGGGTTGACTTGGGGTGAAGAAAAAGCCGCCATAACTTCGCAGTGCTCCTTGTAAATGAAATCAGAGCCATGATTGCTCTTCTTTTAAAGTAATTCATATGTTGTGTACTTTTCCTCCAAAACTGTGACGTGTCTAGATAGCTGCATACGCAAATAAAATCTGATGCAAAAAAAACTCTATGACTGTCTAGCACATTGGGCTCATCTCTGACCCAGGCCACATCCTTACAGTGCTCCTATCCTATTTGGTTCTTTGAAAAATCATTGATATAATGCCCGTGATGAATAGCCATTCAGCTCAGTGTTTACCCGTGGAATTAGGCCACCTTTTCCACGGAACCTTCTACCCAAAAAAATAAAAATGGTAACAATGTAAACTGCGTGCGCGGGAAAAAGTCTCAAAAAACCTGCAGCCCCAGCCAGGCGAGGCCTAGACACCAGGACCACATGAGATGCGCATATTCATCTATATCTTCCTATTTTGTAACATTAGAGGCCATCTTGGTCCAATCTACCATTTCCGTATCGGGTGCTGGGTACGCTCTGGAAGCTCATCGGATGGCTTCTCCTCCTTGATCAAGGATTGGTGATGAGAAGGGCTTCAACCTTAACATTTGATCTGATCGTGGTTAGCTTCATGATAATGGTGATAGGGAATGTGTTGAGAGATGAAGACGATACAGACCGCGAAAGCGATTGGGAATCCTCATCGAAGTGAGGACTTTGTTACTCAATCTCGGCTCTGCAGACTCTACAGTGAGGACTGGAGGTTCTTTGGGGACACCACTGACAGGTATTGAGAATAGTCCCCCACTGTATTCGCAGTAGATCAGGCAGAAGCACCCAAATTTCCAAGTGAGAAGCCACAAACCAGTCGCGCCTAGGAACCATATCGTTGTTGAGGATATCGGCCACAGCCTGACGCGAAAACCTCAAGGCACAATGTCGATCTGGGCAACATTAGTTTGCAAAGCGGCCAAGCTACCATCTCTGCCTAGTGCGCAAGTCCCGAAAAGACCAGCTCCAACAAGCCGTCCGACGGCACAGACAACCTCAAAGGAAAATAAATGCCTGTTCCTTCGATTGGGGAAAGATTATCACTTGCACAAGCTATCGCCAGTTATGATCAAGAAATTCAAAACCGAAAAGGCTGGAATAGCAGCCTTAGCTATCATCTCGATGTACCCAGTCAGGTCTGATATCGCTCTCGAATGCACATCAGATGCATTGAGAGATACAATCATGAGGATTGAAACTTCTCTACAGGAAGACAACACTATGATTGAGGAAGCGTCCAAATGGACATCATTGATCGTACCTCATGTGCCATTGTACATCAGGACACTTGGAGGCAGCATCCTAGTCACCAACGACATGGTGAAGAACGACTGCTAGGCTGTATGTGGCGCCACACCAATCCAGGTAAGGCCCACAGAAACAAAACTTGACCAATTCTCAACGAGCTGAATTGTTCATTTCCAACAGAAACCAGCGAACAAAAAGTTTAATCTCTTTGATAAGAGTCGGCCGGAGATCCCCTTTTCACGCTGACGACCGATCGATCAATGCCAACGTTGCTGGGGATTCCACACAACGCGTTCCTGCACCCGGAGCCAACAATGTGGACGATGTGGGGAAGCCCACGTGTCAGAATGGAGCTTAGGCGTTTGAGCTGAGGCGGAATTGGAATTGGAGGGCGAGAAGAGGTTGTATGGACTGCGAGAGATGACTGAAGGTCTACTGGAGATGATTTGGAGAACAAAAGGTTTAAAAGATGGGTTATGTAAATATCAAAAAAGTATAAAGGTTCGAGTGGGTACTAATGATAACTGAAGGTACTAGAGGTGACCTGAGATGATCCGAAGGTGGTGGTTGTGATAGAAAACTATGCGTACATGTCAGGCTCGTTGGCTAGTTCGGAGGTCAAGGGTCGGAACAGGACGGAGTCGGGACGGACGTAGTCGGGACAGGATGTAATCTGAACGGGACAGAGTCGGGGTATAGAGTAAAGCTTATAATAATCGGATCAATCTGTGAAAGGACGGAACATGAGCTTCTAACTAACGTGTGCCCAAAACAGAATTTATATTCTATCTAAGGAGAAGGATTCCCTGTACAGATGTTCATGAATATAAAATACGCGTCGCGTAAGGTGTCCCTTTACATAAGCAATAACCACGCTTGACCACAAATGTGTTAGCGCTTGGCAAGGGACCGGATAAATTCCGGTTCCAGACTACATGGCTACAGCCTATAACACAACCTAAAGTCTAGAAAATTACAAGACAAAAAGCTACAGAACAAATCCAGTCCTAGATCTTCCTCAAGTACTCAAGAGCGGCTACTACAATCTGGAGTATGGTAGTCTACAGCTATAACACAGCAAGTGATTGCTTATGTTGATTAGTAACTGTTGCTATCATTGTAATGGGTGCTCCATATATCACGTGATCTATCACGTCATAAACTGTATTTATAAGTAGTTAACAATACTTAATGTAATATTCATTCTTCTTGCACATCAATCATAACATTGTAACCATTGCAACGCATTGACTATGTTACTAGGGAAGTTCCTGACTTGGTTGACCAGACTAAACACAGCATCTCAGCATTAGCCCATGGCACAATGGTAGTAACAAGTAGGCCGTTTTCCTCGTGGGAAGGCCGGTCTGTGACAGTAGAGAACTCTGTCCCTACTAACCAAGCCATCATACATATACTTGCTTTCCTTCCACTAGCTTATCATGACATTGGCCATTAACAAGTATCAACATAGTACCTAGTGCCAAGAACTGTACTGTTGTCACAGCAACATCAGGAGAAGGGTAAAATTATAAACTAAAGTTAGGATGGAAAGGAGAATCCTTACACCACGAGACATTAGAGTGCCAGACCAAGGTGTCAAAGTGCTAAAATTGCGCGGGACCTCACCACTCAAATTAGGGTAGCTGTATGGCCCGGTCAAGACGACAAAACGGGATAATTCTACCCCGTACCCCTGCAGGACTTCACATCATCAGAGAACGCGGACATCGTGATTATCACGCTGCTCTAGCGTACTCAGAAAGAAAGAGTAAGGCGGTTAAAACCGTCACTTCCCAGGACTCAACAATGTCGTGTTAATATTAGGAAACCCTTCAACAAAAGCACCAAAAGATAAACATAACACCGTCCACTTTCAACAAGTGAATGTCGGAAGAGGTGGGGAAAACACAGATATAGCATTGCAGCAGGCATAGGATGCCGGTGCACATAAAGTCATGGTATAGGAACCATAGACAAGAAAGAAAGAGGAGGGTTTTATAACGAAAAGTCACCCTGGCTATAATAGCCATATACCATTCGGAGGAACAGACATCCAGTCCCGCGCGACTACTTTCACGAGCAAGGGTAGTCATGCGACTCAACTATTTCCACTGTCATTAGTCCCGAAATCTGACTACTGTTTTGTAAAGATGGGCGGTCTGACCTATGTCAACGTATATTGTGCCCCAGGCATTAGTGGAAATTTGGAGCCCATACTCAGGTGGGAAGTTAGAGGACTAATGGTTGTTGGTGGTGATTTCAATTCTGTGTCA